ACGTAAGGGGTTTGGATGGGCGTGGAGGAGAGTGTAAGTGGGCGTAGATAAGGGGTTTAGATGGGCGTGGAGGAGGGCGCGAGTGGGCGTGATTAAGGGTTCGAATGTGCCTGGAGAAGGGTATGTAGGCGTAGATAAGGGGTTTAGATGGGCAGGGCGTAGATAAGGGGTTTAGATGGGCGTGGAGGAGGGCGCGAGTGGGCGGGAGTAAGGGGTTCGAATGGGCGGGGAGAAGGGTATGTGGGCGTGATTAAGGGGTTTGGATGGGCGTGGAAGAGAGGTGGGCGGGGCCTGGAGAAGGGTAGTAGCGTGATAAGGGGTTTGGATGGGCGTGAGGAGGTGTTGGGCGTGCATAAGGGGTTTGGATGGGCGTGGAGGCGGGCGTAAGAGGAGTAGATAACGACAGAAAAAAATGAATGTGACTTAGACTGATAAAGATTTTAAATGGCTATGGAGAGGGGCGCGAATGGGCGTGGAAAAGAGCATGTAGGCGTGAATGAGGATCTTGAATGGGCGTGATGATGGGCGTGGAGAAGTGCGTCAAGTGGGAGTAAATGCGAGGGAAATGAACAAAAAAATTAATGAACGTAAAAAAAAAAAAAAAAAAAAAAAAAACATAAAATAGGCTTGAATAAGTGAAAAAAAAAAATAAACTAAATAAATAGTAATAATAATGATAATAATATTGAATAATATGATGATGATGATAATATAATAATAATAATAATGATAATGATAATAATTATAATAATAATATGATAATGATATAATTATATATATAATAATGATAATAATAAGAACATATAAGTAATAACATAAATAACATAAATAGATTAATAACAATATATATATATATATATATATATATATATATATATATATATATATATATATATATATATATATATATATATATATATATATATATATATATATATATATATATATATATATATATATATATATATACCAGGACGCGAAAGAGACGATAAAGAAGAGAGTGAAGAAGAGCGAGAATACACCTAAAAAAAAGAAAAAGAAAGAAAAAAAAACGTGAAGAAAAGGAATGGGTGTGAAGAACATGAAAGAACATCAGAAAGTTTCAACGAAAGGAAGTAAAAAGAACACGAGGCGACTGCCTGATAATCATCTCAATCTATTCGCTTGGCGCCCACTCGCTCGCCGCCCACTCGCTCGGCCGCCCACTCGCTTGGCCGCCCACTCGCTTGGCCGCCCACTCGCTTGAAAGCCCACTCGCTTGAAAGCCCACTCACTCGGCCGCCCACTCAAATCGCTTGGCGCCACTCGCTTGCCGCCCAACTCGCTTGAAAGCCCACTCCGCCCACTCACTCGGCCGCCACTCGCTTGGCCGCCAACTCGCTTGGCGCCCACTCGCTTGGCGCCCCACTTGCTTAGCCCCACTTCCCTGACCGCCCACCGCCACACGCTTGGCCGCCCACTTGCTTGCACGCCCACTCGCTTGGCCAAGTATGAGGTATGAGCCAATTATTATGAGCCAATTATGAGGCAAATATCAGCCAACTATGAGATAAACATAAGCCAAGTATGAGGCAAATATGAGCCCAGTATGAGGGATATATGGGCCAGCAGGAGGTAAACATAAGCCAAGTATGAGGCAAATATGAGCCCAGTATGAGGGATATATGAGTTAGCAGGAGGAAAATGTGCGCCAAGTAAAAGGTAAATATGAGCCAAGTATGAGAGAGATATGAGCCTAGTATCAGTCAAGTAAGAGGCAAATGTGAATCAAATATACAGGAAAACAAGTGCAGTATGAGGTAAACTGGAGTCATAAATTCATTAAATATAAGTCATATACAAGTGCAGTATGAGTGAAATATGACAGAAGAATATACATCAAATATAAATCAGACCTGAGTGCTTAATATCTTTATCCATAAGCCTTTAAAAATCATTTAAAATATACAAGAGGCACTAGCATGAACCATATGTATTTGCATATACAAAACAACTATTCTATATTTAACCCTTTCTCTAAATCATTCACGATCAATGATTTATGAATTTAAAATATAAATTTAAAATAGAATATTCGGGAAAATGGAGACAAAGTAATCTCATTCCGTTTGTAAGTGTTTGCAGAGTGTTTAAGATTTATTAAGTGCCTTCACACTGTGCGGCACTCCCTTGGGGCCTCCGCTTGTTAATTGCAAGTGGTTGATTAGAAAGCAGGGTTTGTGTTTTTTTTTTTTTTTTCATCTTTTGCTTCTTTCTCTTTGTCTCTCTCTCTCTCTCCATTTCTTCTCTCTATCTCTCTCTCTTAGAGAGAGAAATACTTAGGCTGACAGACAGATAAATAAATGATAAATAGTAATATAGCATATATTATAATATATATATATATATATAATATATATATATATATAGAGAGAGAGAGAGAGAGAGAGAGAGAGAGAGAGAGAGAGAGAGAGAGAGAGAGAGAGAGAGAGAGAGAGAGAGAGAGAGAGAGAGAGAGAAAGGGGGCGGTGAGAGGGTGAGAGAGAAGGAAAAAGAGAGAAAGACTTTGTTTGTCTATGCCAAAGAAATATCTCGATATAGCGAGGGCAGCTGTGACTTGGCTGGCTGTAACTGCCATTGCAGCTGACTCTTATGCAAATGCTTCAATAGGTTTCTGCCAGCTGTT